ATGTCGATTAGAAATTCAAGTTCTGCTCCGCTTTTTTCACGAGTTACAAATCAAGTCGCAGTTTAGGTTTTAGAATATTCGATCCACGAACCTTTTGAGCCACGAACACTGTTACCGTTAGGATGGTGATTCCATATACATTAATTGTTTGAAATGTCAATGTTTCTTTTTACAAAGAAACCCAAATCCTGTATGTCTCTTTACACTGGGTATTTATGCTAAAATATTTTACACTTAAAGTTTACCACAAGGTACATCTAGTGTCTTTCAATCACTTTAGATTTGTAATAAAATTTACACTTAAAGTTTACCACAAGGTACATCTAGTGTCTTTCAATCACTTTAGATTTGTAATAAAATTTACACTTAAAGTTTACCACAAGGTACATCTAGTGTCTTTCGATCACTTTAGATTTGTCTAAGTCGCCTCCTAGGCTTTAAAACGTAGTCTCTTAGAACTGTAGCATTGACGAGTGCTGTTGTACACCGTGGTTTAATTCCTTATTTGGCTATAATATGTCGATCTCTATTTTTGTTTTCATGCTTTTTTACTTGCGTGTCTTTAGTCTTCATAGAAACCTACTTGGGTAAAGACTAGGAATGACATACACACGTAATTTGGTAGGTAGAAAAAAAGTTGGACCGTCACCGTTTTCCTGGTCAATAAACGGAAGTTTACATATGAAACCAATCACTAAATATTGAAAAAAAACAGGATATTTTATACCTGTGTAAATCTGTTCACGGATATTGAAATCCGATTGATCTCTACACTTTTATTATACCAGATACCTGCAGATTTTCTTGATAGGGAAATCTGTCACCAATTATAGATCAGAACAGTCAGAGGGCACTTCATTTACAACCTATCTTCTTAATTATGAAACACAGATCATTGGCTGGTTTGGTTGCGTGATTCTTGAAATATGAAACATATATAAAAATACAAACTAAATAAAAACAAAACTCGATGACATGTGACACATTTTAAAGATGGTTCATTTTCTACACTAATGGATTAAGCTGTTTCGTGAAAGATTCAATATCACATTATTAAATTAAAAAATCAATCAAACAAACAAACAAACAAACAAATAAAAACCCAAACAAAACAAAAACCAAACAAAAGTAAATACAAGCAACAAAACAAAACAAGGATGGCAATGGGACATTCGCTGTTCGATCTATTGACCTTTGACCTTTGGTGTCGGTAGAGAGCTTACCGTGCTACCGTTACGTTACACGTGCTGAAGTGACAATTTTGAAATTTTATTATATACGTAATTTCCTGTAACTATTGAACACATTCTGTTCGTATTTATGTGAAATGTAAAATGTAACACATACGAAGAAATGCAAGTTGGTGACAATCATGTGACCAGTATTTTAAGTAGTGGTTTTAGAGAGTTTTCGAAAAACTTAGAATATCTCCATATTATCAAAACCTTCACCCCACTTCCTACATTTACAATGCCCCCACATTATACAGATTATATAAGTGTGGTCTTTTATTGAAAAAGTTAGTATTTATTAATTAGTTCGTTGTTAACATTTTAATACATAATTATTAATGAACGATGGACTGCAAATATCGAGTGAAATAAATTTTTCATATGTTGTCAAATTTGGATATAGCGAGGTGTGCAGTCCTCCTTTTTGAGGCAAAGACACTACCACCAACCTCCCCTTGGTGTATTTCTTACAGGTGTTTCATGAAGTCGTCTGTGTGGGTGTACACTCTTTTGCAAACATGGTGCTGTTTCACCTGATATCCAATGCAAGCAATTAAACCAACCTATCAAGAAGTATTCGTGTTTAAAATAGCAAACAACATTGCAATATTTTCGCAGAAAAAAACCCTGAGATATTGTGAGATTTTGAAGCTATTGGGCTATGGTGTGTCGGATCTGTTTTACATGTGTTCAATATACGTTACCTACCCGTGATACACACTGATAACATGTAAGAATAATTAAATACAATTAGATAAACGGAGATAAAGACTGAAATTTAATTTCACAATTTACAAATTGTCATACCCGAAATTAGTTCACTTCCTGAAATCGCTGGCATTTTTAAATTAGTGTATTTTGAAGTGCACAGATTTTTGTGATTTTCCAGGCAATTCTGGGTTGTCATGTGAACAAAGCTCAAGATAATAGTGGTCTCCTTATTCCCACTCCTATTCGTTTTTATGAATGTGGCCTTGTTATGCCCGTTACGGTATGCTGAGTTTTTATACACCATTGGGAATCATGGCAATGCATGTGACCGTGCCCTTCTTTATTGTATTTATTAATGAAGTTAAACTACATGCGATGTGTGATTCCAACAGGGCTCGACTTTTAGTAAGTAAGTCTATTAAGTTACCTTTGATCAACTGCTGTAAATTGCATACTGTATTATCCATGGTCCCTTATCATGAATGTCAGGGTTATGTCGTTCAGATTGGTTTATATAGATATACTTAATATAACCTCGAAAAACTGGCGATCATGACAAGTACTTGTGTTCGTAGAATTCTCGGACAGTGAAAGAGAAAGACAGTATAGATGTGTCGAACAAATGTTTCTAAAACATGAGAGAGAGAGAGAGAGAGAGAGAGAGAGAGAGAGAGAGAGAGAGAGAGAGAGAGAGAGAGAGAGAGAGAGAGAGAGAGAGAGAGAGAGAGAGAGGTTACTTTCGAATCTACTCCTGTATATATTGTCTGCATTTTCATGAGAAGGAATTACGACAATGCCAGGGGGAAGGAACCGTTGCCAATTTTTTCCGAGGTAATGACGCGAAACACGCGTTTGACATTTCTAGCCACTAAACCATGAACTGGTGATGATAATGACTTTATAATACACTATGGACTGATCGATAAAAAAGCGTGCAACCACAGTAGTTTTTTTCTTTGATGTAGTCCTGTGGTACCCATGGACTGATTTACAAGGGGCTCTGGGGCCCCCTTACAGCGAACATTAGACTGCTACAATATGCTATTAGGTATAAAACATTCAGGACGTGATACAGGGGGAAGCGGTGTTCTGGGGGTTCTTTTTTATTATATCACCATGTTTTGTCGGGTCGCAAACTTCTACATTCTATCTGATAAAAATATTGTTGCTCATCAAGATTCAATGAGATTCAAGGATCCCTAGATTAGAAGAAGGGAAAAACATTGCTCGACCATCGATTCGATGTATTGTTATACCTTAATTCATTCTCTATATTTTTTTTACAGTGAGTAAAATATGAAATTCCAGATGTTTGACCCAGAACAATGGTTACCGATCAACATCTCGATTTCCGCCAGTAAGCAATTTTACAAATTCCTGCTGTTGTTGAAAACTTATTTCAAAATTAAAATTGTTGAAATGATGTTGTTTTATTATTTATATTTATCTATAATTATTTGTTTTTTTAAATATCAACCGTAGAAGGTACAACAACACATTTGTTGACTGGATTTTTCGGTCAACATGTGTTATCTCGAACTGTTACATTCGGCCTTAGACAAAAGTTTAGTCCTCTGGTTAAACACAACACATGTTGACCTCAAGCCCAGTCAACAAATGTGTAAAGTATTCTCTAAAATGCATCATAATTTAGTTGAAACAGTGATTTATTCAAGATAAAACTTAATTTTTTATTTAAATGCCATGTCTCCGTTATGAAAATTACGGAAATTCTATTGAAATAAACAATGTTCAATTTGATTCGGGCTCTCTGTGTCCAAAAACCATTCCATACGTCAAAATTAAAACTTAAACATTTTTTTCAGTGACCCAAAGCATTATAACAGAATAGAATCTGATAAGATGAGGTTTACAAAAAGATCAGAAAAAAACCCAGAAAAGGCGGCGACTTTAAATTAAAATCGATATTAAATTTTCTAGGGTTTTTTTTAGATATCTTATCAGGAATACACTAAAACATTTGCATGCCTGCATAAGGTGGTGATAAAAGATGCCAGGTAACAGCTGTTATATGGTCGTCGATAAGTAACAATAATAAATCACACTTGTTTTTATCATTGTAGTGAAATCTCTTTGATTTTAATTTGATTTAATATTTCAATATTTTGAACAGCGATTGTCCTACTCAACGAAGCCACTGGAAAAAAAATCGTTAAAATAATAAATCGCCTATATGTGTAAAACTGTACAGCCAATTTTTTTCGTGGGTCAAACTTAACGCGATTTTCATTTAAAATGAGAAAATGAAATTTGAACAAATTAAGATTACATTAACTATATAAATTTCAAATCTGGCTTCCGACAATGAGTTTCCAATACGTGAATATTGATCTATCGATCAGGCTACAGTGATTGGGTGTGATGATTGTAAACGCTTGAATTAATACAAAAACATATAACCATGAATAAAATTCCAATTAAAAAAAGATAATTGTCTCAAATGCTCAATGATAACTGGAAACGGTTATGTCGGAAAATAATGGTATACCGGTATGGCTGCAGTTTTTAGTAGCACTTGTGTCTTACATTTCCAAGTTTTCGTGGCAACGTTTATGCTCCCGAAATAGGGAATTTATCATCGCGTGCTACACGGTAACTTCATCTATATAAAACACTATCTACAAGGTTTCCCTAGAAATCGACACAAAATTATCCCTCCAATTTGTAAAATGTCAGAAGTACGGAAACAAATTAATGTGGACTTCAGACCATGCAACGGTGAATGGTAGAATTATGATTTACATCAATTATCATTAACATTAAACATACAAAACCGGATTACAAGCGTATGTAACAGATGTGTCGTTTCCCCGCTACATATATCTTATAGGATACTGATATAACTCCATCAATTTTTTTGTTATAGAGCAGTATTGATGTTGTGGCCTAGATGAATTGTGATTGTGGGCACATCTATACATATATATATTTACAACACAGAGTGTATATCGACTTTCAGGGTGCAGGTGGAAGGTTGCTAGTGTAGTCACAGCGTCGTATTTTCTATAGTACACAATTTAAGTAAATCACAAGAACATGAGTTATAAGAAGAAGCGTCGTTTGAATGTCCTGGCTGAAAGATTACGTCCCGGCCTTAGTGAATCCGAACGCAAGTTTTTGGACGCAGCTGAACTTGGTGATGAATCAGTGGTTAGGAAAGTGCTGGAAAATGACGTCGTATCTCCGGATTGTGAGGACACGCTCGGTCGTACTGGACTTGATCTGGCCATTTTATCTGGAAAAGAATCTCTGGTTCTTTACTTATTTGGTAAGGTATCTGGACCAAAAGTTCACCAAGGTCTCCTTTGTGCAGTTGATAATAACAGAACAGAACTCTGTGAAATTCTTCTACGTCATCAGATATATCGACGTCGTAGTGTTGAAACTGACGTGTACTTGTATATGGATGACACAGAAGACGCGCAAAATAATCAACCACCGGAAATAGTGGAGAAAGACATTGAAAACCAAGGAGCAACAAAGGTAGACAAAATGTTGAAAGAGGCTCTGATGAGGGCGGCCATAAAAAACAATTTCCAGATAGTACAAATGATCATGTTGAGAGCTGTATCGCTTGAAATACCACATGATTATTTTTGTTCCTGTCGCCAATGTATCGACGACAGAGAGGGGGATTATATGGTGTTTTGTAACAATCGCCTTGACACCTTTAGAGCCCTGGCTAGCCCTGCCTACATCTCCCTGACAGAGGAGGACCCCATCATCGCGTGTTTCCACCTCAGCAAGGGCTTCAAACGGTTGCAGATGATAGAGACAGAAAATCAGGTAGGATGATAAGTCATTTGTTATTAGATTAATATAAATATGTTTTGATGCAAAATAAATTACACGCAAAAAAGTCAATCCCTTGAAGCATGCTCTCGTAAATACGTATATCCAAATACTACATTTGTTTTAAAATGTTAATGGGATGTCTATAAGACTTTTTTTATTAATGATATTTCAACGATGCCTTTGCCATATGATAAAATATTCCAGTGTATTATTTTCTCTAAATCTCCTATGTAACGTTATTGCATTTTATTAATAAGATTTAACGGTGCTATTAACGCATGGTGAAAAACACTGCGACATTCGAGAGCACTTTTCTTTGCAGTTTCAACATCAACAAATAAAATACTGATATGTTAAAATAATCTTAATTCAATCACAAATTCGATGAAACTAGGGTAAAATATGATCCCAAGAGAGATTTACAAGTAGACTCCTGGAAAAGTACCTGAATAAAACCAGGCGTTCAGGAAGAGTGAACGTCATCTGCTTCATCATGCTTAATCTTGGTCAATACGAGTAAGAAAATGAGCACAATGTAAACAACAGCGGAACCAGCAGGCGTTAAGGTGCTTACAGATGTTATCATACTATACAATAATAGATATACGCACGCTTGTAGTGTTTGATAAATGTCAATCGTGTAGTTCTGTCTGAAAACGTTATTCTATTCGATATTGGCTCCTTTTAAGTCCCCATAAATTGATACATGAAGAAATAAATAACACATCTTACAGTTCTATGTTCTTGTCAAAAGCATAAACAATGTTTCTTTGTCTTATCGGGAAAGAAACCGTTATAATTGTTGATGACATCGATGTTGCTACCTATTTCTCTATCTTCCCAATGATACTTGGTAAAAGGTACACTTTTATATCTATTTCTCTACACTGACATGGTAAGCTGTACTCCCATCACGTTTCCGGTTGTGTCATGATTTATAATGGTGTGGACAATGACCTTAGTCCGATATAAGTTTTAGTGTGAAATTAACATATAATGACGTCTAATTTGTATCAGTCAGCTGTTTCTCTTATATCCAATTAATCTGGGGAGGAGGCCGATAGAGATTAGGGATAATTTTATGTTAATATCAACACAAATGAACGTTTCATGCAATAAGACCTTAGAGACACTTCCTCCTCTAATGCTTAATATGATGTCGCATTTTTTAGCAATATAGAGAAAGAGGAACCAATTTGGTATAAATAGAGGGTCTGCCCCCTCCTACTATTCGTGGTTTTAGGACCGTAACAAAATAGAGGGTGATGTAAAGTGTAGCAAATTATTTTATCTAACCATAGGAAAGACAAAATTTTGTCCTAATTAAATCAGATGCATTCTTGGGAAAAGGGAACCAATTTTTATAGATAAAGGGTCTCCCAGCGGCATGAGAAGAGGAGCCATATGAGGATACATAGAGTGCAACAAACTCCTTAAAGTAATTCTTCCATAGGAAAGACAAGAGTTTGCAAATTGTGGTCTGAAGCATCCCTGGATAAAGAAACTTATTTCTGTTTTTTGATGGGTCTGACCAAATGGGATCGGAGAGATGTTGGGAGCTCAAGAAGAAAAAGAGATGAATAACATTTAAATCTTTCCTCTGTTGGGATAAAATAATTTTGATTTTATTTGGTGAGAAGCATCCTTAGGGAAAGAATTTATTCGATATGGTGAAGTTAGACGATTTATAAAATTGCTCAGAACAGATGTATAGATTTAGAGTTTCTTAATTTAGATACATGACTGAATCTAGAAAAATACACATACATTGTCCAGCATCCCAAAATAAAATAAGAATTTGAAAACTTTTAGTCGATCTAAATAATAAACAATGAAATTATAAATTAAATAAATATATGAGACATAAATGATTTTGAGGATTTCTGGACATATGCAAATACCGTTGCTTTCCATATGAATTATTTTGATTGTTCCTTTTAAATGATTGCTTTTGAACAGAAAACATACCAAGAGTTAGACGAACAATGCCAGGCGTTTACTCTCGGCCTAATGGACAACTGCCGATCATCGGATGATGTCAAATGTATTTTGTCCGGCGCCAGCACCAGAACAACTTTTTCTGATGATGAGGACAGTTCTAAGGATCAAACATTTCAGCTCAACAAAGGCGATAGCTTCCCCCTTCTCTCCCTAGCTATGCGTATGGAACAAAAACGGGTAACGCACATTCAATAGTCATGCTCTGATAAATACATTTGGGCCCCCGTTAAGTAATTTCATATACGAAGTTGGTTGTTCAAAACATATTTTCAAGCATGGAGAATTATGAGTATTAACATCGGATTAAATGTCATGCCATTTACATTTGTTGCAGCTTGATATTGACGGAAGTTAGTCTGAGTTCTAATACGTATTTCTGATTCATATGAATGGTTATATAATAAATCAACAGATGGTGTCATTGTGCTCACACGAATAACATCAATCTTAAATCCGCGGGAAAAAAGTAAAAAAAGTAAATTTGTATTGTTTATTTTTATAATTCTCATATGCAAAAGATCAATTGTGGCAAAGAATATATTAATATATAATGTTCTTTTTAGAGATTATACCAATCTGCTTCACCTTTAACGTCATCAGCTTGGATCTGTGTTTGTTTGTGGTTTTATTACCGTATTATTTGATTCGTGAATTCTAGTTGGCTTTGGAAGAGTAGTAGAAGAGAATGGTTACGTGAATAAATAATTTTGTTCTATGATAGATATAATATATACATACCGAACAATAATACGTTACCATGGTTTACATAAAGTACAAGAAACTACCAATATGTCAACATAATCAAACTAGGACAAAATAAAAACAAAAGAAAGATTAGCAAGGAGAAAAAGTACAGGGAGAACAAGCTTACAGATAGTGTTGCATGTAACACTAGTCCTCTGTCGTTAATTAGATATTCTAAGCAACATAGGCCTTGATAGCAATGAACAGGTGTCCCATTTTAAAGATTTGAAAGTCTTCCTTCGAAAAAACCAATGTCTTGAAAGGAAGGACGCAAAATTAGAAAATAACGCAGAAAAAAAATTTTATATGCACTCACGTTAAATAATGTTTGACGCTTTAATCAAGTTTGTCATAATTTATTCAATTAAGTAATTGTCTGGAAAACAAACTAAAGCACTGACATATCAGTAAGGACTCGGCTTTATATCTGACCTTTTAGGGTAAATTTAACTATTCTAGTTACATTGTTAGTATATAAATGAACAAAATGTAAAATTTGACATTGACCCTTTAACACAGTGAGCGGAAACATTGGTCGTGTGACTACTGGTGTTATTCTGTAAAACTTTGCTTATCGCATTTCTGATGTTGGGCCCTAAAAATGGCGATAAAGGTCTATTGTAATAAGTGACCTTCACAACCTTCATAGTTGACCTCTTGACCCCAACTCAATCCCACACCATATATTTTCTAATAATATAAGATGGCGTCAAGTTTTAATGCAATCAGTCAACCCTATCACAAGTTATCATCTGGAAGCCAAAATAAGATGAGAAATGTCTATTTTTGGTAACAGCGACCTTTGTAGTTGACCTTATGATATCAAATACAATCCCACTTTCTATTACTTCATAAGCTAACATTTTCTAAAATTTCAAGCAAATCCGTCAAGCCTTTCTCAAGTTTTTTTTTGGAAATCAAAATTCGACGATAAACGTCTATTTTTAGCAATAGTGACCTTCGTAGTTGACTTTTTGTCTCCAAACATACTTCCACACTGTTTTACCTCACAAGCTTGCAGTATCTAAAGTTTCAACCAAATCCATCAATACTTTCTTTAATTATCACTTGGAAATCAAAATTTGAAAAGAATATCTATATAAACACGTTTACATGTTGTAATAAACAAGATAATTTATGAAAATTCATAAAATCGGTGTTATATACTTTAAAGTTTGGAACTATATTTCCACGCTGAGCAATTATTTTCGCGAATGTCATCAGGCAAAACTCGCCTTGAGGTAAACGTTAGATAAACATAGATTGTACAACAAAACTGTTGAAGTTTCAATAGTCTGATTCTCGACTAAAGTAGCAGGATAAAAAGAATACATGGTCAGTATCTTAAAATTTAATCCGCATTTTGGCTCGGGACAGAAAGACAAAATACGGCTTATATTTCAAGTCTATGTATTCTCTCTGTATGTCATTGCAACTGAAGTGACTATTTACTGTAAAGGTACAGTCAAATTTAAGTGCGTTATCGTCTCTCTCTAATTCGAGAATTTATAAATTCACGCATGGACAATAATTGTTCTACAATTATCTTTGCAAATTTAAGAAGTTATTAATGTTTGTTTTGCCTTAAACAACGATGAAACGTCTCGGCTAATACCATATATTTTGCGTTTCATATAGTTTGTAGGACATGTCAAGTGTCAGGCCCAAGTCTCTGAACTGTGGTTTAGTGGGTTACAGATGCTGCGCTACCTCAACAGGTTTGAATACCTGATGCTAGCAATACCTCTCGGAATTCTTCTTCTCCCCATCTTCTCTCTTGTCTACGTCGTGGCGCCATGGAGCAAGGTACAGTAGCCATATTGTGTTTTAAAGGTTTTTGCGTAATTTATGAAACTGATTTGTCATTGAATTTTCATTTTTGAGTTAACTACCTTTTTCTCGAATACAGTTCATCGCGGATGATTGTACAAAAGACACGCAATTGGCTAGTATCTTTAATCACAACCTAAGTGGCGATTGAGAAAAAATGGCCGAAAATAATGTTTAAAAAAACGGATGTGGCGATGTATTTGCCCCATTAATAAAAAATATCGCAATTTTCAGATTTCTGATCACTTTCGATAGACGTCAAGAATATAATTCTGAACTGTGCCACTATTCAAATGGTATTAATAGCGAAAATAAGAAAAGGTCTAAAATACTAGCCTTTATCAGTATATACCAAGATTAAAGATGAAGAGTCATGATAGATGCTATGCATGCCTAGTTATAAGTGATCGTCACTGTGTCCTAGTATTATGGCTTTTGCTATGGAATGACACTTTAGGATTTAATCTCCAGTCTCCATAAGCTTCACTTTAGCACAAACAGTTTATATCGGTAATGTATGGTAGACATTGCTCATTCAAAACTAATAACGAAAATAACGTCATGTCAACACATTCGATAAAACTTGGGAAAGAATAAAAGGATTACACGAGGACTACTGAAAAAGTACAAGGAGAATAAGACCAGGTGTTCGGAAAAGGTAGGTGTCTTCCGCTTCATCGAGGACATACACCATATAATTCTCGGTCAATCCAAGTAAGTAATTTTACTTTCTCGAATGGAAACAAAATGCTATAATGATAGGTGTTAAGCGGGAAAGATATTGTGTTTTAATCAGGATACGAATCCTATACTTGTGTATGATATCCGTTCTACGTTTATTTACAGGTAACAGTACTATTGGACACACCTTTAATGAGATTTCTGAGTTACACCTGCTCCTACCTGTCATTTTTGATCGTGATTTGTCTGTGTAAACTCAAGTTCAATACGATATGGCTCAGCATTGCTTGTGACGACACCAGCTTATTTGCCTACATTCTCATCGGGCTAGTGTTTCTATGGATAATAGGTAAATGTTTTGTGGAAGTTTCTGATATAAAGAACAAATGATTAATAATACTCGATCGTAATCCATGTACACGTTACGTTTCCGTACAGTCGAATCTCTTTATCTCGGCAGGATCACGGGAAAACCTCGAGATAACCGAGTGTTCGATTTATATGAGTTTGAATATTTTGTGTAAAGTTAGGCAGAGGCCCGACAAAATGTTCCGATTGAAAAGGTGCCTTCGTTATAAGAGTTCGAGGTACCGAGGCTCGACTGTTATTGTAAAATTTTTAATTTTTACATCAAATGAAACAACAGGTGATATTATATCAAAGACTGTAAATGATATTGCAGATGAAAACGCAAGACATATATTCTGCATGCATTCTATTTCGATGCACATGAAAATAATTATAATTCTGTACGTGATTATTGTGGTGATGACTATATCATATTTGTTTTTATTTCCATATGATCTGATATGTAGGGTGTTAAAATATTTACCTATCTAGATAATATTTACCTGTAACAAGGTTTGATATGAGTGGAAATAAAACAGATTTACCTCATTAAAGATGAAATTGCATAGGTATTAAGGTTTGATAGCGGGTTTTAAAACAGATTTACCAAACTAGATGACATTCCATTCGCTTTAAGGTTTGATATGGGGGAGATGTTAAGCTAACTAACGCAACTTTAGATGGTAGATAATTTGTATAAGGTTTGATACGAGGGAGGTGTTAAGCTAACTAACGCAACTTTAGATGGTAGATAATTTGTATAAGGTTTGATACGAGGGAGGTGTTAAGCTAACTAATGCAACTTTAGATGGTAGATAATTTGTATAAGGTTTGATATGGGGGAGGTGTTAAGCTAACTAACGCAACTTTAGATGGTAGATAAATTGTATAAGGCTGGATATGGGGGAGGTGTTAAGCTAACTAACGCAACTTTAGATGGTAGATAAATTGTATAAGGCTGAATATGGGGGAGGTGTAAATCAAAGTGACTTAATTGAGAGTATTTTTATTTGATCAAGGCTTAATATGGGAAGAGGTAAAACAGATTTATCGTGCCGGTGCCGAGGACTATCTTCTGTCAATTTGGAACCTGGTCGACTCCTTCATGCTGACGTTCCTGTTAGCGTCCTTCACATTGGATGTAGTACTTCCTATCAGGATACGGCAGATGATTCACCACTTCCAGCCAACTATGAACGCTTCCGGTAATCTCCTCAGTATGACGATGTTACCGCTCTGTTACTCTAATGACGTCTACAATATGTCCACGTCATACCAAGACTGTCAAGCTCCAGCCACACTAGCAATGATGGGTACGTTTATCAAGGAACATTTGATGGTGTAGACATAGTTTAACCTTGCCGTTGTTTTTCTTGTGTATTGTCAGTTCATGAATGACGTAGGGATGTTACAAATCAAGTTAACAAATTGTGATTGTCTTTCTTGTTAACATGATAAACATGTAAATGATAAATATAAACAGTGAACTCCTTTTAGTTGACATTCCTAATCATTATGAGTTTTATCTTGATTAAGAAAAATTAAAGATAATGGACTAAATTCATTTATTCTTAATCTTTGCTCACGAAAGAAGACAGAAAACTAAATAATGAGAGAAATCACACAAAACAAAAACAAACTTTAAAAACCCAGATCGATGGGTATACATATCTGTACTGTTATTGTTTTTAAGTTTCTTTTTTAAAGATATGATTTTTTTGCCAGATCACTATACAGTCTATGTATATACAAGAACAAAAGCATATACGGCAGGGACATTATTTATATCATACTTCAGGCTAGAATATCTATCCAGAGTTACCATTCTTTTCATAAAGTCAATCAAATAAAGCATTCAGGATCTACAACTCTAGAAAGATATTCTTCATCCTAAAAACAGAAAAACAACTTTAGTTCATCAGGAAACAAAACATTTCTGTGTTGTCTGTGAAATAAGTCACGGGAACTGGTAGCTATACATACAGATGTACCATAGATCGTAGTATTTTTTTTTTTTTTTTACATCGTTGATCTACATTTTCAGCCGAGTGGTCTCCAGCTTGGGTACCCGATCCAGAATTTCTGTCCGATGTCCTTTTTTCTGCTGGAATCATCTTGAGTGTGAGTCGTATATCTTTCATCATGCCAGCCAATGAGACGTTTGGAACTATGTTAGTGTCTTTTCAGAGGACGTTCTTTGACCTCGTCAAATTGTTTGCAATGTTTGTCCTGATCTTACTTGCATTCACGTGCGGGATCGCTGGTCTATACGCCGCCCATGCGTGTCAGACAGATAGTTTTAAGGGGTAAGTGATTGTATTTTATCGATTTGTTTTATTCAAAACAAAAATGGAAGAAAACAAGAAAATATCGAAATGTTTGCAAAACCTTAATTCAGACACAAAATAAAGACCATTGAAATTTTACAAAGAAAATAAGACCAAATGTTCCGAAAGGTTTAACTTCATCTGCTTCATCGATGAAACCTAGCACATAAAGCTTGGTCTATGCGAGTCAGCAATGAGACAAGAACCAGACTTGTCACATTGATGGTAGAAGATTCCTGCACTGAGCCATTTTTTCGGATCAGGGAATAAGAAAAGAACCTTGGGTTAACTATTTGATGAAACTGTTAGACAGCTATCAGGGATACCCATTGCGGATCTAAACATTGTCACCTGTACCATCCATTTTCCTGATTAACAAATACGTCCTTTGTGTCATATCGTATCTTAAAATCCTACTTATTATAACAGAATTTAGTTCCATGGTAATACATCTTACTATTTTGCCAATTAGGCGTTGATACCTAGGTTCTTGTGAATGTTGGTTTTTGCTCAAACATGACCACTTTGATAAGAAGACTATATCTGTTCTATTCTGTGCTAATGTTAGGCGGTAATTGAACTCTTTTGGCATCCTTATATTAAGCGTGTTGTCTAAAAACGTCAGAGTGTGTGTTTTGATAAATACATTTTTTGTTCCTTTATTTTCTCTAGTCTTCGTCTATGAATTCAACATTTGTGATATTATTCGATTCTTTCCTATATAATATGCTAACGTATAACCTGTTTTACATGTTAAATAAATCGATGAGAGACTAAGGCAGGGGTTTGTGTTCAGGAGGGAGTTTTTTCATTTTGTAATGTATAAGGTATCTTACTTACGAATCTCGTGGTTTCGGTTTAACAGATTTGGCGGGACATTGTTCCTTCTCGTGTGGTCATTGCTCGGATTTGGTCCAGGAGAGGCACCAGATCTACGCCATGATGCACCCATGACATCGTTAACGAACAACCCCTCTCGCGGCACGATGGTTGTCGCACTTGGGTACATCCTGTACGGAATCTATGTCTTCGCGGCGCTTGTTGTCCTCATGAACCTTCTCATTGCCGTGATGTCGAACACATTCCAGGAAATTCAGGTGAGTGATCAAAGGCCAAGCACAAAACAGTTGTACGAAAGACACACAAGCGAACAGCAGTTGTAGGATTACATATAGTTCTGCCAAATAATGGGGAAAATGCTTCGTACTGCTGTCTCGTCCTTCTAGTACCCATCAGTGATACGGAGGACCGAAATTTAAAAACCTAGGAGGCGACCGAGGAAAATCCAGTGATCGAAAATAAAGATCAAAATCTTGATGAGAAGGTGCACTTACCCCGTATTTCAATAAATTTCTTTTTAGACAGGACAAATGTAGTTGATTAGCATTAACGTTATGATTAAATTGCACAAAGCTTAATTGGATTTTTTAAATTATTATTCATTCAAAGATGATATTGATAATTATGTGCAAAGGCAATACAAGCCTGAAGTATTATATATATTATATATACATATATAGTGAAAATGTGATAAATTCTCATACATATATACAAAATCTTGATATTCAGCTCTATGTGTTTTTTTTGTTTGTTTTTTGTTTTTATTTTTTTGTTTATAAACCTTCAAAATAATGTTCGCTTGTAACGATCAATTCCTGTGGTACTGTGGCTCACTATAAAATATCTTGGAAAAAACCCAGAAATATTTATGAAATAAAAACTTATATGCCTAGAAGTTAAGATGAATAATTTCGGAGTATTACATTATATATAGTATCCGTGCTATGATATATACTGTTTGTGTATCGTGTGATCTGGGGCGATTACATCACGGCTTATTTAATTACACATATCACTATTATTACACGTGTTTGATCTCCATTGATCAGTTAGATTGTCCTCTTTAAATCTACTTATGTCGTTATACACTACATTAAATGCCACTATTATAAGGATCGGTAAGGTCAGAACGTGCAATGTCCATTTCCAATACGACATACTTGTGATACATGTACTTTGCTCATAAGTTTCCCAATGTTATACATAAGTTGATCAGAAAACTGACGGTTTGTAGCATTTAGAAATGAAAACGACTCATCTACGAAACATTAGTTGCAATTTTATCAGAACAATGAAGAAACTAAGCACGACAGAATATCTAATTTGGCACTAGGCATGATATTTAAGAATTGACAGATTTTCAACTCATAGTTGGCTTTGATACAACATTTAAATCTACCTTATTGGTCAGTAAAATGTATACTTATGTATTTATAATCACTTTCCAAAGTGAACTTATGTTCAGTGCATTGTCGCTGGATTACCGACAATTACGTATCACTTTAAAGTTGTTAAGTGACCTGTGTTCTTTTACATGGCAACTGCATTCACAGGGTCTTTGCTTGCCAAGACATCCGAAGCCTTTCAATCCCCTACCTTTTCAATCGGAGCTGTCAAGGACACCCAATGTGTAATGTTAACGACGGGCCTGCAGTAGAGATCATAGTTTTCTCACGTAATTGACAAAGAACAACAGAAGATTCAAATCATATTTATGTGCATGATGACAACAATTCAATCTAAAATATCTTTCAATCACTTTTCCTCAGTTGCCTCCTAGGGATTAAAATTTAGGCCCTTACCATCACTGACGAGCCGAAGTAGAATGAAACAGTTGTATGGTGTTTAATTAATCATTAAACACTGTTTCTAATTTTAGCTTGTATCATAAGATGTTTTCATTTGTACTTTTTTGTACAATCTTTAACGTCACCAACATGACATACTTTTGACTGCAACATGGCTTTGTCTGATCGTTCTGTTTACCCAAATAATTTACAATCTATAGCCACAACAGCTACACGAGATGAGACATATGCCGGTGTTTCGTATCTGAAATCACTTTAAGTGCTCCGACATCAATATTGAAATGAATGGCAGAACAAAGCCATATTTTCAGGGCCCCAGGTTACTAGTTTAACTGAAAAGAAATAACTGCATAACACTGCAACACCTGTTTGTTAAATGACCGCAGCATTCTGTCTTAAATCGATGATGTAGATATAATTATACATACTGGTAGATTTATTAGGCCAGCGGGAGTTATCGACCTTACCACTGTATTTAAGCTACGAGTTCGGTAACAAGTTACTTACAAAAGTACAATTTTATTTGATTCTGAATGACGCGTATAATTCGAAATATGTATCAAATATAATAACACTATTACATATTCAATTTTAATGTACATTTCATATTTTAAGGACGAAAGAGACACGGAATGGAAGTTTGTGAGAACAGAATTATGGTTAACGTTTATAGAACCCGGATGTTGCGTAGCACCACCATTCAACGTCATACCAACCCCACGTGATCTCTGTGCATTGATCAAGACCATGAGGAAATTCTTCCGCCGACTTTTCCGGAAGTGCCATAAACCTAAACACAGGTGTACAAAACGAGAACGCTCGTTAAAGGTAATGTAAACACAGGAGATCTGTCATTTAAAGTAATCGCCCTGGAATCATTAAAATAAAGTAAAGAAATATCTCCTTGTGTGCTGTAGTTATATACGGAGCTCGTATTTCTGTATACATGTATGTACATTTAAACCATGAATACTTGAAAAGCAGACGCATCTTATTTTCATTAGTAGTGAGCACTTTTACAGCTTGAACACGGGATTATTTGAAAATAAAGATAATTTTGGATGTAGTTAGAATGATTCATGATGGTTAAATTGAAATTGCTTGTTCGTTGTTATTGATTCTACTGAATTTACTTTACACAAGTGTCTTAACGTGAGAGACTTTCCTTGGTTCTTTTTAAATGTTAAAGAGACTTATTAATATGATGATAAAATATTTATGATGACTTTACTTTTCAAAATGTACTTTTCAATGTCAGTGACAACTCTGAAAATAACGTTCATCAGTTATGTTCATGTGCCATTGAATGATATACCAATATAATATTGAACATGTTTCCTCGCAGAAACTTCAAGAAAAGATAGAGTTAGAAGAAAAACAGTATACTGCTCGTCAGGTAATGTAAAATCAAATGTACTCCCACAATTAAATTAACTAGCAAATCTTTGCTCCCACAAACTACAGTAATTAGAAGATATTTGCTTTGTTGTTTATATTTTTGCTTTCAATTAGCATAATTTTACAATTATTTATTCGTTCTTGTTGCTACAAACTACACTAATCATCAGATATTTGTTTGTTGTATATGTTCCCACAAACTACACTTACAGATCTTTGCTATAACGTATATAATCTGCTGTCACAAACTACAATACTCAACAGAGAGTTATTTGTCATACATGTGATTGCTCCCACGAACTACAGTAATTAGTACAAATTTGCTATAATGTATATAATCTGCTATCACAAACTACAGTAACTATCAGTTATTTGCTCTACTTTATATAACCTTCTATTTCAAACTATATATTTTTTTGCAGATATTTGCTTTGTTGTATTACTTCTTGCTACCGAAAAGTACAGTAATTAGTAAATGTCTGCTATGTCGTATGTATTCATGTTGTGTGACTGACTTGTTCGATTTTTATTAGAAACCAACCTTCCATTAGCTTCCAACCTCGAATTACATTTACTGGTTTTGTTTTTTATTGGATACAAAATGACAGCGGGAGATAAATGACAACCTTTAATCTTGTTTTGAAAAAAAAACAATCTTTGAAAATCATTTCGATACATTTAAGCCTAGTGTTTGTTTGTGGCTTGCCATACCTACCAGGCGCTTACTGTTGGTTGTTCACCTCTGTACGGTGCACAATTCACACCTAGAGAACAAATCAATGCAGTACTGTAATACAAATTGTAGGGCGTTCGGTGCAATGCATCAGTGTTATCTGTAGCATTCCTTTGTTTATGCGGTGTCGACACTCTTATCTCCCCCGCTAGCTCTGCACCAACATAATGGTTTGCGACAAGCGTCACCAGCAATTTATGATTAACAGTCAAGACCCTTCAAATCTATTAACGATTAACATAATGCTACAGGAATCTTTGCTGTATTCTGATTTTGCTTCAGTATACCCTTGGTCATATGACCATCGTTAATACGACAACATGTTGGACGCCACTATATATAACATTTTATCCATCTATTAAGAACATATTGTTCTACCTCAGTCTTGTTTAAGAGCTTCAGCTTGTTTCCATGTTTTGGTTGTGAAGCTATTGCGTTGTATAAAATAAAGACGAGACCAGCTGTAATTGGTAACGACAACACACGCTGTCACTAATCTTAACGAGTACTTTGTCATTTTCGGGAGAGATTGGAAAAATAATATCCTTATTTTTGGAACGTTGCTTCTAATATGTAGACCTGTTTGCGTCAGCAATGTTCAGACAGTTCTCCACTTATCATCCAGTGTTTTTGCTTCTAAAGATGAAGATGAGAAATAGCTTCATTATTCCATTTGAAAAAAAAATCTTTTAAGTACAGAATTTCAAATCTAAATATTTTGTCATTGTATGCAATTAAAAAAGTGAATATAATGTATATTATGCAAACTACATTCCTGTCACGATAGCATGTCCTGGGTGATTTCAGCAACTCATAAAGCTACTGACTTCATTGTGTGAATGGAATTCAAACGATGCCTGTATCAATATGTTCTTATTTTTTAGGTAGCATACCAAATAGCCAAAGGAAACCATCAGCGCATTTTATATCTATTATAGAACAAATAAAGTAGAAATGTTGGAGTCTAGCAAATGTACAAATCTTATCAGTACATCTACATTTCCTTTCCGAAGCAACTTGTCTATATTCGCGATTTATTGTTTGCTTTAAAATAATCTGCGAAGGAGTATGGGATTAGGCTAAAAAGGTATAGATCGATTTTTCACTATCTCGTACTATCTAGGCCATAAACAACAAATAGATTTAATAGTGCTCCTGGTATCAATATCGCGGCCATATTCAGGACTTTCTCTGTGGATAGCGTGACGTCATGAATCGAATATTTGTTTTTTGGCACATACAGTGTAAATGAATTGGTGAAATTTACGGACTTTGGTATTGCTGATCAAAATAAGAACAGTGAACGTACAGCTACCGGCAATTGTAAAATATTCGAAACATATCACTTGAAAGTCGTTGACAGTGTCCTGTCGGTATACAGTGTATAGTATACTTTAGATTATTACATTTTCGTGAGTCTTAATTTTCGTGATTTTTCATAATATTACATCCGCAGTAGGTGATAGTTAATAATAATAATGATAGATAATAATAGTGATAGCTCAATAAATACTGATGTAAGCAGTTCATGGACACAGATATTTAGACTCGCGTCATCAACGAAAATGAATCCCCCACGAAAAATACTGATTTACCGTAATTTATTTTATGTTCTAGGCGAAGCAAACAAAAATACAGAATACTGAATAAATGACGTACATATAGGAATGGAAAATACTCAATGTTTTATTGCAAATGATCCAAACTTTATCAGAATAAAATACAGTTGTATTACCTCACTATGGGAGGAAATATCACACTTGGTTCTCACAAGTCTAATCAGCAGATTGAAACTGTAATTGATCGACAAATCATTTAATTGAGAAATCATCATTCTGTCTGCATTGTATTTCTGTGTATCATTGTTGCTCGGTTAGATTATCTTTTAGCAGTAAATTAAACGCTGCCCCCACCAATCCAATTATCTGTGATATCAATTGTGCATAGAATACAAACCTTGCTTAATTTTTATTTCGTGATTTCATTGCATTAACGAGAGTACCGACAGGACGAAACCTTTTGAAAATATCAACCCTTATATTGATATTTTACCCTATATCCCCGACAGAATGTGATGTGTAGTCTGGTGCGAAGGTACATCCTAGAGTCAGAGAGGGAGAAAATCGAGGAAGGTGAAGGTAAAGTTACATATAGCACAAAGTATATACTATAAAAGAAAATATGAATATGTCAACACAAGAATACGATCGATGATGGAGTAGAATAAGGCCCGGTTACTCATAAGAGGTAACGTCTTCTCCATATCCAACATCCGGCATGTTAGCGAATCTTAGTAAGTAATGTGGTGTTCTCGTATGAGAACAAGATTTACGACAGAAAGACATCAATTAGGGAAGGGAAAAAGATAATAACATGTCAAGATGATCATAATAAAAACTCAAATTCAATAAAACTATGACAAAATATAAACAAGAGAAAGATTTACAAGAAGACTCCTGCAAAGGTACAAGGAGAATAAGACCAGGTGTCCCGAAAGAGTAAGTATCTTAAGCTTCATCGATGACACCCATCACGTCAGTCTTGGTCAATTCAAGTATGTAATATCACGTTCTCAAATGAGAACATGGTATACAACAACGGAACTAACATGCACACTAACAAGCATCAAACACGTCCAGCTTCATAACGTACAAACTAATAAATCATTTCTCAATGCGATTACTATGACGACCATAACACGTCATCATAATTTTCATCTACCAAGCTTACTGTAAAAGCTTTAATTTGCATTGAAATTTTATTTTCGTTAATTTGTAAGAACACTTAGATAACAAAATCATATGTTTACGAAATGATAAAAATGTAAGAGTGTTTATGTTGTCTTAGTATTGCTTAATTCCGTGATTACTATTGATACAGGAAATTAGATATCACGGAATAGGTAACCACGAAACTTCAGCTCTTTTTATCTTGACTAAAATCTGCTCTATACTACACTACCATTCTGTTGTTTATAGACGCGGCAGAAGATAAATTAAGACGTCTGATTGAGAATGTCGCTAACAAGTTGGACGAGAGGATCGACTTGATCGAGAAGAACCTACAGACCGTCGAGGACAACGTAAATAATGTACAGAAAGGCGGCATGAACATACAGACTATGCAGAAATCTGAAATCGACCTCACTCAGACTGTAAGTCGTATGTCTTATAAGCGATTTCTATATGGGTTATTTATTGATTAGCACAAATGCATCACATGTAAATGTTTATGATTATTACTAATTAGAAAATATGTAAAAATACACACACTTTGTATCATTTTATTGTATCCATAGTGACAACCTAAATAGTGTAATTAAACATACATCTTTATGAACAAAGATGAGCCGCGACAGGACAGCTCATTGGGTCAGAGCGTTGGCTTATAAAACCTCATTTGAAGATGCAAGGTGCGTTGTTCAACGCTCTCTACCCGTAACCGTTTGTGCCTCTTAGGAAGATGAGAGACGGAGCAGTCTAAACTGTCATGGTTGTATCCCCGTGCAAGATTTTTACCCTCATTTATCTGTACGGCATGCGACGGGCCTCCCGTATTTTCGGGGAGTTAGTAACCATCTACTACGCTTTTTTCATGGGATGATAAAGTCTACAAACAAACACACTTTTTTTACATAGAATCATTGCATACCATCACGTTGTTTCCTGTCGCGGTGCGTCCATTCCAAATCTTGAGAACCTCTCCTTAAACTTCGTTCATATTTATCCCATAGAATTATATCATCAATTTCTACACCTGACCAAATTCTGGTTTGTATAGAAGCAATGATATCCATACCTTATATATATGTATTTATATATTTAATTCTGAATAATTTAATGATAAAAACAGGCATGCCATAATTCACTAGAGTCAGGTTTTAGTACAAGAGCGTTCATACATTTCCAAACCTCTAACTACGTAGTGTTAAGAAATATTTTATTTACAGCTATTATCATATATAATGTACCTTTACAGCTAATAAACACACATGAAGGCTACCAGACAATGGTAAAAGAGATCTGGGAGGACGGAAAAGCCTTCCGCGAAACCAAGATGGAAGCAATTCGCGCCATGAGGGATGAACGTCTAAAGCTTATTGAAGACATGAAGGCAGCGGAAGCCCAGGCCCTAGAGGACTCTATCATAGACGTCTATGATGAAGCTGACTTCATTCCGAGAACTACCATCAATTGATAACTGTATATTGACACGATGATAAGGAAACAAACCCTAAGGAGCTGCTCAGCGGCTGTGTTTGTAGTAATCGCTGTAAAACAGTATACCAAACACTGTGTTAAGTCCTGTGAATACAGTGGCTATTGATTGTCGACGTTCTAAGCATGCCGATAACGCCGATTCATGTGATTTCGAGTTCTGAGATTTTTCTAATATACATATGTATTTCTAACCACAAGAATTTGAAATATAGCGAAAGGTGCACTATTCATAAATAACATGACGAAATAAGTTTTGAACACAAAAAGGTTGCTTGTATCACAGAAGAAAGAGACAAAGGATTTCAGAAGAGTGTTGAATGGTGATAATGTTGGTGATAGAAATGTATGCTATAGTTAAAACAACGCACAGTATTACAGAAGTGAACAAATATCATGTATAATACACTATGTAAGATGTGAAACTTGTGAATCAAAATACGAAATATAGTGTTAAAAACCTTAGAGATTCTTGATTCGAGAAGCATGTTTATACATAATATTTTATCATCGGATTTATTTTTAAACTGAAAGTAATAATTATCGTGAATATTGATTAACGGCAAATTATCTGTATTACAATATTATACGAGCATATAATATGCTTGTTTCATCATCTACAACGTGTTAATTTTGAACATATTTCAATGTGAAACATCAATGATATAACATTTCAATTTATCACATAAGCTGCCTGTTATTCAGCAAATTCATCCTTGTAACATCTTTGCATGTATGTCACTAGTGTAATATATCATAGAACGTTTTTCATTGGCTGCGCCAGTCAGAAAACCATTGTGATGTCATAACAATTATTTACGTCATTAATTGGGAATGGCGATACAGTATTGGATACCAGACAATTGCTGTAGTTTGTAGAATGAGCTATGAAGATGTGTAAACCATTAGAACTTTGATAGAGGCGGCCATTTTTAGGCGATTACATTGATGTCATAGGTACGTTAGACAGTAACCTACATTATGACGTAACGCTATTGTCCAATATGTGCGTTTAGGAACGGGTTGAAAAGTTTTCCAAACATTTCTTCTTTACTTATTCGTTTTGATGTAGTAGGCTCTGACATTTTGTAAAAGGTGTATATCCAACCTGCCTATAGCATCAATGCAACAGCCTGAAAGTGACCGCAGGATTGGAAACGTTAATGATTGTGATTTGGAATTTTACTTTCAATGTTAATATTTAGATTTTATATTCATATGTAAGATACTCTTATTTGAATTATATATATATGTATATTGATCTAATGTACACATAACCGAGAAACTTGTTTGAGATGTCAGAAACGACAAATAATTGATTGTCGATTTCATTTGACAATATTACAGGATTGATAAAGCCTTCAAAAAGTGATAAAAATGTAATGCATCTTGCTGTGTTTTGACTTTGTTATTATGTGTATTCATCATCATCATCATGAGAATATTGGTATGCTGCTCTGTGTAATTCATTGTTGATCACTTGGTTACATTTCAACCATTGTAGATGTAGGACATTATAGTGTTAACTAATACAACCTCATACACTTGTTTCATTAAAATGATAATAAATTCGTCTGAAATTATACTTCGCTTGACACACTTAATGTGTCACGCTTGACAGCGCTGACAAAGCATTTCTGAAATGTGTTTCAGGAATTACAAAATCAACCATTATATACTATCACTTCAATTGAATCTGATTTAATACAATTTTATACATTGCAAAAACAATAGGAACATATGTATCTATGTATCATAGACGTCTAGTGATTTCCTGACAAACATATATTATACTTTTCATGAATTGTTTATATTGTTAATTCGTGATGTAAATGGTATTGAGTCGCTAGACGAGATCACAGAATAATTGCCAATAAAACCACATGTCGTAAACTAGTCTCATTTTTTTTATTTCTAAACGAGTCACATTATCGCGCTCCACTGGACCTTCTCTAGTGTTATTCAACAGATATAATCAATGCTAGGAAATCAATAAACACTGTTTATTTAAGCCTATCCTTGTATCTTGTTTGTTGTTGAAAATATTGTTGTATATTTGGAATAAACATAAAACTCTTTTTATGTTCTTCTTTTACGATAAAATCCTTTATTTTGTGGGTCTCATGTTTTTCAATGGTATTTTAAAAATTTAATGTTGTAAACGTACATATTTACCGTTGTTGCTAATATTGCTTTATATTTCATTGGAATAAACATAAATCCCTTTTCTGTTCTTCTTGCACGATAAAATCTTTTATTTCGTGGGGCCCAAATTTATATATATTTTTTTTATAAATTACATATTGTAAACGTACATATTTAGCGGTTATTTCATTTTAGCGCTTTTCTCGCTAACGATATTTGGAAAAGATATGATTGCAACAATTGCAGTTTACATATGTCGTTAGTGAATTAAATGTAATTATTACGAATACACAAATATGTCATTGTGGTTAGTTGTCCACAGCTGATAATACGCTAAAATGCAGTTACTTCGAAATAAATACGTTACAGCACTTTCGCGCGCACTTAATTTCGTGGATAAATGACACTTAAATACACAATATTCATATCAATTGACTCATGATGGACTAAGTATACAGTAAGAATACCCACGAAATCAACGTAATTATTTTCTTCGCGATTTTTTTATCTACATAATGGACTAGGTCCGTGCAAAGGTGGTGCACTGTATATGAGATACCCTGTATTTAAGGAGTATATTTCGTTTTTGAAATATTTATCCAAACCAAAGCACCTTAATATGCTGAATCGGAGAATAAATACATGTCATTTTGCACAAGCTATTAATAATCATTCATTTTACATTACAGCATTCGACTTTATATAAGAATGCAAAAACGGTGATATATTAGTATGAGTATTATTAATGTATTAAACCAAAACTTATCTATTATTTCATGAATGATTTAAGAAGTGAATATAAAGATGTTTAATCTCAACATAAAGTCATTCCATTTATCATGTAATACACTAGGATAAAAAAATATAATTTGTTTCTACAAAATACTATTCTACTATGATACAATTCATTAATGGCTTCCAAAGTTGTAGCAAATTACATTTTACTCGAAAAGCTTTTAGCTGATCAGGCGTTTATGCAATGCAAGAGAACGGATGTTAGTCCAGATCACTACTCCGTCCTGTTTCGATTGGGCTATAAACATACTTGATAACATGGGAAATCAATGTTGTTGAGCCGTGATTATACCTGGCTCTAACGTGGTTAATAACTGCGTTAGTGAGTTCCTTCAAACTTACACCGTTATGTTCCACGATTTGGTCGATGAAGTGTCCGAACATTTACGTTCTGCTGTGTTCACTGTCCAACAAGACACGGCGTTAATATGTTCTACTACGTAAGTATGACTACTATTGAAGTCCAGACTCGTGCTGACCAGTCTTGTGTTTAGAAAATGTGGTTAAGCTATCACGTTCTACCAAGATTACCCACATATATTCACGATTACTGTCGCGGTCTTCCTATGGATTCGCTATATATCTACACGAGATATTACATTGACCCTACAAATAGACATGTTCTGGAAGTTTACTTCCTATAGCCAATGCCACTCTCAGGAGTTGAATGTTAGCGTGATGACAATGCATTTACCAAGTGTTCTCAGGAGCTAGAAACACCCTGTATCAGCGTCACGTTTGCTTTGCGTTCCCCAAAGGATACTCACGACTCGCTAGTCGTTAATCAGGTCGTATAGACATGAATCTGAATAGGGCTTTACCGTTGGTCAAAATCTAGCAGTGGTATACGATGAAATAATCACTGAATACTTTTTCTCCTCTAATAATGAAATATGTCGCATTGTTTACGAAAAATTGTTAAAATTCTTTTCTTCCCTATTGCCCTCCAGACACACACAACACACCGTCAATATTCAACTCTTGCGTCGTCCAGCGAGAGGTTAGATTGAAATGTCATCATTCATTGACGTCGCTACTCCAGCAAGGATTTGTCAAGGGTTTTATTGCATGGTAACGGTAGTCTATTTTAAGCAGGTGTGTGAAGGTGAACTCGCTTACTATTGGATATTACGAATTTTCTGTCGACATTGAATGGCTACACAATTATTATCTCAACAGTATTGCTGGTTTTAACGGAGAAACATTTTGATAAGAATTCGTTGTAAACAATGAACAGCTGATTGCTTAATATATATCGTGATTCGTTATGATTTAGGTAGGGTCTCGGCTATTCTCATAATCATTTGTTGATAAGGCTACCGTAAATAACCACAATGATATATTTTTGTATTCTACCTTAAGCGTCAGGATACCCAAAACACACCCTCAATGACATTTTTTATATTCTACAATAAACGTCATGGCACCCACAAAACACCAATGCTATATGTTTGTACTCTACATTTAACGTCAGGCTATACGTAAACAACACTCAATGACATGAATTTGTAGTCTACATCAAACATCAGGGAACCCGTACATGACACTCAATGACATGTTTGTATTCTACATTAAACATCAGGTTATCCGTAAACCACTGATAGGACACGCTATTTATAATTAATACTTAGAGATGGAAGCCTACTTTTGGTGCTCCATTGAAAATTCACGCAACCGTCTGTTTCTAAGATCAGAAGTCAGATTCTTATTGCTTTCATGCTTACATTTCCCTAACATGTTATAATAGCAGTGACCTACTTCATAACATTTGTTATGCTGATGTAGCAGTGCCGTATATTTTTAATTTGTAAACTCGGCAGCATGTCATGTTTCTTTTGTCAGTTGTACAGATTGGTGATTGTACTGAAACACCAAGGTGTGTATATTACGGGTCGGTAAGACTTCTTTGTATAGCGGGAATGAAAGTGACACCTACACAAGGATTTTGTCACAACTTTGTAGTAATTGCGTCATGTATTGATTGCGGTTTGAAGGATGAAGCAGCACAATGGTTATATTACTTGAATTTTTTCATCTGTC